AGATTTGGTCTATGAAATGCAGTCTGCTAACAGCTGATATAGACTATCAAGGTGTAGAGAATACACTTGAAAATACTATTTTGAAAAGAAAATGAGTCTTGAGAAGCAAATCCTCCAGATATGAATTTAAATATTTTACTTAGTCTAATACAGAAGCATATTCAGTTCTTAGCCTGCATTTCAGGCTAATTATTAATGACTAGGAGAAATACTGGGTCTCTGAACACACCTTCCTGCCTTGATACCTGCATGTTTACTGTCTCTCTTCCTTCGTTCCTTTACCTTGTATCCTCCTTCCACCTTATTTTTTTCCTTCATGTTTAAGAATAAAACACCTTTCGTCCTTCCTTCTCATATGAAACCTTTATTGGTAATGTTTCAGGGTATTGATCTTAATGTCAACAGAAGGCCAACACACCTTAAAACATCAATAAGGGTTCCATAAGAGAAGGAAAGCATTTCTATCGAAGAGATCATCATTAAACTTAAAGGTAAATTTAGCTTTTCTTGGAAAATATGATGTTCTAAAATATAGTGAAATTAATATTATTCAATACCTAAAACATACTGAAAGAAATATTTAACTACTTCTAATGCAAATATATGGTCATGCATCACTTATTGATGGCAACACATTCTGAGAAATGTGTTTTTAGGGAATTTTGTTATTGCAAAAACATCAGAGTGTACTTACAGAAACCTAGATAGTATAGCTTACTACACACCTATGGTACAAACCTGTACAGCATGTTACTGCTGAATACTGCAGGCAATTGTAACACAATGGTATGTATCTTTGTAGCTCAACATAGAAAAGGTACAGTAAAAATATGGTATTATAATTTCAAGGAACCAGTGTCCTACATACAGTCAGTTGTTAAATGAAATGTCATCATTACACAGTCCATGAATGCATATTTTTTATTAAACAGCAATCCTTATTTTAAAAGTATTTAGTAAGATTTGACCAATACAACTTCATTATCTGTATAGATCACCTCTGTATACCAACTGACTTGCCTTCTAAATTTCACTCCCATGGTAAATTAAAAAAAGCAAGTCAAAGTGATACATATTAAATATATAAGCTAAGTGGTGAAACAAAATTTGCTTTTCTTTTACTCAGATAAAAAACATTTCATAAGTAATATCGTATTATCTTACCAAAATCATAACGATAATAGTTCCAGCTTTCATACTGGCCACCTTGATTATCCTCAAGTCCCTTTTCTCCATATTTGTCATACTTTTTCCGTAGATCTTCATCTTTGAGTACTTCATATGCTCTATTTATTTTTAAAAAATCACCATGCGCATTTGGGTTATTCTGTTAAAAAATATTAGATATAATACAATTATTTCAGATACACAGTCTAAGTTTCTTCATAACATATACATAGGTTTAATTAATCTAGTAATTTCTGGTAGACCACATACCAACATAAGGAGGGGTAATATAACATGACATGAGTTACCATGGGTTGAAATGAAGTATTTTCTAAGAAAGTAATATTAAAAAAAAAAGAGTAAGAAAAGCAATGAAATAATTGACTCTTCAAAATGTTGACATACGTTACCACATGATGTAAGTTATTCTTCCTAAAAAATGCAGCTGAGTGAAACTCATAAGCCTGTTGAAACCTTAATTTCATAAATACTTATCACTACTATAACAATTATAAATCAATAAATTTGTAGGTTATTTTACTATTTGAGGCAAAATCAACTTTTTTTTTTTTTTTTTTTTTTTCCGAGCTAGCTGAGATTTTATTTTTGGACCAAAAAAAAAAAAAAAGCAATTGAATTGTTTTGCAGCTGGAGGCATGGGCCAGGGGGGTCCCCAGGCAGTAAACTCCCCGCCGGTGGGCTGAGGGCTAGGGCTGAGGGTCAGGTGGGTCTCCTGTTCCCTGCGCTCCCCTGCACAGCAACCTCCCTCCTGGGCTCTGGGACAGCCTCAGGAGGGGCAGGCTGGGAGGGGCTGTTGCAGTTGTTCACTTGGGCAGGACGTCAGAGGACTCAGACACCAGCCTCCCATCGCGGGTCTCAATCTTCTTCACAACCACAGCCTTGGTGGAGCTGATGCGGCTGATGGAGCTGGAGCCTGTGACAGAGCCAAAGCTGGAGCCCAGGCCGTAGCTGAGGCCGGGGCTTGTTAAGCCCCCATAGGCAGAGCTCAGACCACCTGCATAGCCGCTGGTGGTCTTCATGTGGATACTCATGTCCTGCATCCCGGACTCCAGCCGGCTCTCCTTGCCCTCCAGTAGCTTGCGGTAGGTGGCGATCTCGATGTCCAGGGCCAGTTTGACATTCATCAGCTCCTGGTACTCACGCAGCTGCTTTGCCATGTCCTGCTTGGCCCGCTGCAGGGCGGCCTCCAGCTCCTTCTGCTTGTCATGAGCATCCTTGAGTGCCTGATCCCCGTGCTGCTGAGCATCTGCAATTGCGGCGTCCAGGGAAGCCCTCTGGCCTTTGAGGCCCTCTATCTCAGCCTGGAGCCGGCTGATGTTCTGGTTCATCTCGGAGATCTCAGTCTTCGTACGCCGCAGGTCATCCCCGTGCTTCCCAGCCAGCATCTGCAACTCCTCATACTTGATCTGGTATATGCGCTCCGCCTCAGCCTGGCTGCAGTTGGCGATCTCCTCGTACTGCGCCTTGACCTCGGCAATGATGCCGTCCATGTCCAGAGAGCAGCTGTTGTCCATGGACAGCACCACAGATGTGTTGGAGATCTGGGACTGCAGCTCCTGGATCTCCTCTTCATACAGCTGCCTGAGGAAGTTGATCTCATCAGTCAGTCCTTCCAGGCGAGACTCCAGCTCTACCTTGTTCACGTAAGCTTCATCCACATCCTTCTTGATGAGGACAAATTCATTCTCCATCTCTGTACGCTTATTGATCTCTTCCTCATACTTGTTCGTGAAGTCCTCCACCAGCCCCTGCATGTTGCCAAGCTCCGCCTCCAGCTTCAGCTTCTCCTGGCCCAGAGTCTCCAGCTGCCGCCTCAGGTTGTTGATGTAGTTCTCAAACATGTTGTCCATGTTGCTCCTAGCCGTTTTCTGCTGCTGCAGGAGGCTCCACTTGGTCTCCAGCATCTTGTTCTGCTGCTCCAGGAACCGCACCTTGTCGATGAAGGAAGCAAACTTGTTGTTGAGGGTCTTGATCTGCTCCTTCTCCTGGGTACGCACGGCCTGGATGTTGGGGTCCACATCCACCTTAATGGGGTTCAGCAGGCTCTGGTTGATGGTGATGGCGGTGATGCCTCCCATGCCTATGCCGCTGGCCCCAAAATAGCCTGCTGCACCCAGGCCACCCCGGAAGCTACTACTGCTCACTCGGGAGAAGCTCAAGCGGGCACTGGGCCCACTCGTTAAGGAGCGGCTGCTGAAGGCCCCGGGGCCAGAGGTGGACACCTTGTAGGACTTCTGGGTCACCCTGATGGACATGGTAGAGGCAGGAGTGGAGGCAGGCGGGCTGAGCTAGGGAGAGATTCCAGAAGGAGCGGAGAAGCTGCTTGTTAAAATCAACTTATTAATTGAAAAAAGGATGTGCTCCAATCTATCAGATAATTACATAAAAACCGATATCAGAAAATAACCTAAAACTGATCCCAGCACTTTGGGAAGCTGAGGAGGGTGGATAATTTGAGGTTAGGAGTTCAAGACCAGCCTGGCCAACATGGTGAAGCTGTTTCTACTAAAAATAAAAAAATTAGCCGGGCAGTAGTGATGCATGCCTGTGATCCCAGCTACTCAGGAGGTGGAGGCAGGGGAATCGCTTGAGCTAGGGAAGTGGAAGTTGCAGAAATCCAAGATGGTGTCACTGCACTCCAGTCTGGGCAAGACAGTGAGACCCATTCTCAGCAAAACAAAACAAAACAATCCAAAATTGGATTGGAAATGTTTCTTCCTTATTACTGTGTTTCATAAAATGTGTTCCTGAAGGATGCTTTCATTTAAATAATACTTGGGTGTTAGAAGATCTACCATCTTTCATATGGAAACTTTAAACAAATAAAAATCTTAAATAGAATACAGGTCTCAGGAAAAGATAGTCCACTAAACAAATGTTTTAAAGAAGCATTGTTTCTCTTGCTCAGCTTTATGCACTGAAATAAAACAATCCTATTTTAAAACTTCTACTTAGAAAAAATTATACTATGATTTCTCCTCATTAATGATGAACACTAAATCTCATTAAGAAATAATCAAATAAATTTAAAAAACCATAAAAATTAAAATGAATTTAGTTTTGAAAGATTTACATTATTGGATATACAAATATTTATGACTGAAATTATATTCAGCTGCTCTCAAGTATTTACAAAACTTTCTAACTCTGGTTTGTGGACTTGTACATGGGAAAACAGTGAAAGTTAAAACATGCTATATTAGCTATTATTTCCATTTTTAGCAAGTCATATCATGAGTTTTAAAGAAATATTTTTTTGTTACTGTTCTAAAATACTTGATCTTAACCTATTTTACTAAGAAATCTACTTCAACTATTTCAGATACTATAGTTTGTTTGGGGGTTAACGTCTATTAATACAATTGTTGGAAATTCATTTACAAATTAAGAGGGAACTGAATTTTTGGAACTCACATTCCTTCACAGGATTCTAAGTAAACCAGAACAAAAAAAACATGCTGTTTTTGTTTCTAGCATACAAGTTGAATCATAATTTTGACATATAATTGTTCTTAAGCATTTGATCATTTAAAACAATTTAAGTAAATATCAAAATGTACCAAAAATGCAACCAAATATTTTGAAAACAAATGTTTACCTACCGGGTTTTTATCAGGATGCAACTTCAATGCCAACTTCTTGAAAGCTTGTCTTATTTCTCTACTGCTTGCAGTTTTGGATACTCCAAGCAAACTGTAAAAATCCTGATCTGTGCCCACTAAAAGGGCCATATACACTATCAGAAAACAGAGAATGATCCTTTTCAAGTTTCTGATATAGTCATCTTGATTTAACCAGACTCCCATTCTTTTTCTTATGCAAGTTCTGATTTAAGTGAACATTAAGAGTCACTGCTGGTTCCAGTTGATGCAATATGCAAATTTGAGAACTTCTGTCCATATAACTTCAAGGGTGAATCAAGCATCACAAATTTGTTCCCGAAAATGTTAATCTAAGAAAGAAAAGCAGGCAGTTAAAAATCATTTTGAACTAAACAATAATAGCACAATTTATCAAAGAACATCGTCAGCAACACATAATTTCCTTTAAATGGCAAATCAGTGTTAATGCCCTACGCTCTATTTTTCAGTTTCTTACATCCATGTAGCTAGATTGGTGAAATCACTGAAGATAGCAGATAAAAGGTCATGAGTGGTAGTAGCTAGCTAGAACACACACACTCAGCAATTTAAACATTGAGAAAGACCTGAGGAGCATCAGAACACAAAGGTGGCAATAAGCTACACACCTTTCCTCTGTCTACCCAGTTTTAGCGTTGCCTTTTATACCTCTTCCTTTCAGCTACTTCTCTACCCCCTAAAGCTGTTTAATTTTCATTTTCAACAGGATTCACTTGCTTGGGAAGGACTAGAAAGAAACATAGGGTTCTTTACTTTTCATATAACCCTACCAAAAATGGCAGAGAAGTATACTGTTGTAATAGACAATCTACACAGCAGTCTGTCTTTTTCCAGGAGTTTTCTCAGAAGGTGCTTATATTGAATTTAAGTAGAGACCATCTTCTAAAATGGTAGAATAATAATTGTAAGTTAACAGTGTAATTTTATTGCAAAGTTGATGTTTGGTGTAAGCAAAAACAAAAAGAAGGGAATCGGTTAGACATGCTCGCTGCAGGGCAAAAACAATCATTACTTCATCATATCATATTTCAGCAGCTATATCTTAGTTCCAAAGATCCGTAATGCTTTGAAAAATCTAACTCTTGTTGCACCTCAGTTTTGTTTTTCATTTAATCCTAAATGTCTATTTAAAAATTTTTCTCCTTACCTGTGAACGGTCTTCAGGTCATTTCTAATATTTCCTTTTCTGTCCACAAAAATATACCTTTGAAAAATACAATGATGGAGAGATTAACAAGTGTCCAAATGAGAAAACCATCAGAAAAAGAGAGGACACAGTCTCAATCAACACTTTGGGTAAGCTGCTCCTAGCTCAGGGGTTGTTCTCAGCGTGGGTGTGGCCGAACTGCCCGTGGCCCGTGCTACGCGGCAGGTGGAAGCGCCAGGTAAATGCAAGGCGAAAGCTTTCGCGTTGCCATCACTGCAGAGTGGGGCAGGGGAGGGGAAAGACGGAGACACGGGGCAACAGGGCTGTCAAGTGTTGCTGGTGTCTGAAGTCTCAGGCCGGACTCAGGGAGAAGGGAGCCTAAGTAACTGAGAGGGAACAGCCGGGCAGAGGAAGTGTGGTGTGGAAAACAGGCAGGAGGAAGACGGTGAGCGAGAATTCAATACTCAGGTCGTAGGAGCGCAGAGGAAGGGAGGTTCAGGCGTGCAGCCATTCCGCCACTCCCTGACAGAGAGCCCAAGCCACCACCGGCTCTAGCAAAGCCCTGGTCCCGGGCCCATGCCCACCTTGCCAGCGCGGGGTCGCTTCCTGTAGCTACTCTCCCATCCTCAAACCCTGGCGGCTGTCCCCGTCTGGCCGAGCCCAAGCACCGCGTGCGGGAGAGTAACACACGCACTCTCCGACTGCCCGGCCGCCGCGCACGGTTTGGGGAAGGTCCAGCCACACCGGCGACTACTAGAGCGCGGCCGGAACAGGTCTGCTCCTCACTCGCCGGTCCCGACAGCGAGCCCGGGCGGAGCCTGGCGCGGAGCATTGTGGGAAAGGCGTGGAGGACGCTGCCTGGGAGACCCGTTGCGGGCCTAGAGACCGCGGCGGCAGGGTGGAGAGGGCGGTGTAGGTTTAGGTTGACGTGGCCGTGTGCGCATGATCCGGCTCCGGCTCCGGCTCCAACCCGGACCTTGGGGACGTGCGGCGGCCAAAAAGCCCGCGCCCCTCACCAATGCGGCTGGCGCCTGCCGCGGGCGGGGACTGTGGACAGCGAAGCCAGCCTCTTCCTGCTTCCGTTGCTAGGGTGACGGGGAAACCCTGAGGGCGGGTTTTGGAGTTGAGGTCCCGGAGACTCTTTCAAAAGGAAGACGGAGCTTTGGAGGATTTATCTGGGTGATGGTTGGGTGAGGCCGAAAGGCGAAGTTTGGCGGAGACAGGAGAACTTGCCTGAAGAGACATTGATTGCAGTATCAGGCTAGCGGAGTGAAGAAGCAGTAGGAAACTTGAAGGAAATTAGAATATTTACAATTTTGTGTGAGCGTGTGTATCAACAAATATTTGAGACTTCCACAGTATTTCCTGGCTTCTGAGTCATACAAGCTAGAAAGTGAGGAGTTATCCGTGTTCGCCTCTCTTACCGTTACATCCTACTGCTATGGTACAGAAATTGCATTTTGACCCACAGCAATATAACAATTGAAGTGGTTATATTTACTACATTTTCTATATTTAAAAGTGAAAACATCATGCCTAGAGGGTACCTACGTGTAACACCAGCCCTAACATGAAATAAGTTGTGATTGGTAACAGTTTTGGGGGAGTAAATCAAGTGTCAGCTTCTAAAAACTTGGAAGACTATACAGGATTATGGCTAAGCTAATTAAGTGGTAGGAAAGAAGAGGAAGTAGAATGAACAAAGGCAAAAATATTAGACGCAGCCTGATAATATGTTCCAGGACCTGGTCTAAGCACACATGTGGTAACTCATTTAATGCCTCAGATAATCTTACAAGATGGTGGCTGTTATGCCCATTTCCCATTGGAAGAAGTTGAGGCAACTATCTGAGAGCTGGGATTCACACCTAAGCAACCTGGCTTCAGAGACTATCATGTTAAGCATTACGACACACTGTAATGAGCAAAATCTTAAAATGAAAAACAAACAAAACTGGAAAATTAAGCAGGGACCAGATTACAGAAGGGTTTTTATACCAAGATGAAGACATAGATTTCTATCTCTTAGGTGATGAGGAAGCTTTTAAAAAAGAGACTGAGATTTTATTTTTGATCATTCTGGCAGCTATTGGAGAGAAGATTAAAAGCATACAAAACTGGAGAAAGAACAGGAGAATGTTAGACAAATAAGGTAAATGATTTAAGAGATGGTGGGCCGGGCGTGGTGCCTCACACTTGTAATCCCAGCACTTTGGGAGGCTGAGGCAGGTGGATCACTTGAGGTCAAAAGGCCCAGACCAGCCTGGCCAACATGGTGAAAACCCATCTCTACTAAAAATACAAGAATTAGCCGGGTATGGTGACTCAGCCTTGTAATTCCAGCTACTGGGGAGGCTGAGGCAGGAAAATACCTGGCACCTGGGAGGCAGAGGTTGCAGTGAGCCAAGATCACACCACTGTACTCCAGCCTGGGCGACAGAGCAAGATTCCCTGTCTTGAAAAAAAAAAAAAAAGGTAAGAGGTGGTAATTGGTTGGATATGGGAGATAAAGGAACGATTTAACGTTAACTTCTGATTTCACATGGCTGAATACTACCCACTCAATGAAGATCTGTTTAGGGAAAAGATAAAGGGTTCTGATTTGGGCATATCTATTCAAGTTTCCTACATTATGTCTTGGTGAATATATCCTGTGTAAAATTCATAGGTAATATCTAGATTGGAGGAAAAATAGGAGAACAATCTAAGATCACCCAAAGAAAGTGTGCAGAATAAGCTGTGGGCCACAGATTAAAACTTGGGGAATTCTAACCTCAAGCATGAAAGCACACAAGGAAAAATAATCTAAGCTTCATGAAGGTGGATTTTTGTTCACTTTATTTACTGTTATGTCTCCAGGTGTTCTTACTATAAGATAGGTACTATATAAATATTTTTTGAATGAAAAAATGTTAATTTGAGAAACAGGCTGAAGAAGAAGGGCCCATACAGGATGTCAAAAAGAGATGATCAGAGATGGACAGAAAGAACTTAACATCAAGGAAATTAAAGTGGGTCAGATAAGACACTGACAACAACTTGTTAATTAGGTCTGGCAACTAGGAGGTTATAGGGACCTTAGTAAGCACGATTTTGGTGGATGGTAAGGCTTGAGGTTAGAGTGTAGTAGACTAGAGATTGGCGAGGAGCTGTGAGCTGAGGAAGTGGAAATAGCAAGTATATATACTCTGTTCAAAGTCTGGGTGAAAAGAGAAGGAAGGAAACTGTCATGTAACTAGAAGAGGATGTGGATTCAAAAGAGGAAATGCTTTAGGCTTGGAAAGACTTGTGCAAGTTTATAAGCTGAGTAGAAGCCAAAAAAGAGAGAGGCCACAGGTATGAGAGGGATGGAGTCAGAAGCACAGATGGATTGATTAATCTTACATAGTTCATTTATTAATTAAAATAGTTTACCGTTCTCTGGGTTAGGTCAATGGGGTTACTGTGGTGAGCAAGGACATAGCTCTGCCCTCAAGAACTAGAATAATAGAGGACACATCAATTATACAAACAAATCTGTAATTGTGAAGGAAAAATACATAGAGTTGTGATGTTGTGACCTACTCTAGGGGCAAAGGTTTTTCAAAGGTCTTACCAAAAATAAAAATAAAAAAGAAGAAATTTAACATATATGGGCAAAATATTAGGGAATATTATAGGCAGATTGAGCAGCAAGTGCATATTTATTGTACTTCAAAAGAGCATAGGTGTTAAAGGAACAAAAAGAACACCAGAATGCAGCAAGCCAAAAGGAGAGAGTCAACAAAATGGGAATGCAAAAGTAGACAGAGACAAGGTGTAGTTTATTTTAAGGAATTTGGACCTTTTTCTATGAGCAATGGGAAGCCATAGGAGAGTTTAAACAGTGGAATGTATTTAATTATTACTTTACTTCAAAGAAATTGGAAAAAATTTCAGTTACAAGAATGTTAAATGTATAGAAAAAAAATTTTGTTTCCTCAACCACTTGAGAGTAAGTCGTTAACTTCTTGTCTCGTTATCTCCCAAAACTGGTTTATATTTTTTAAAAACAAGGACATTCTCCTACATAACCAAAACACAATCATTGAAATCCAGAAATTAACATTAATGTCTTATTATCATCTAATCCTCAGACCCCATTTAGGTCTTGCCAATTGTCCCAATAATGTCTTTGCAGTACAAAGATCTAGCCAGCAACAACTTGTTTAAATTTAGTGTCCTGATATCTTTCAGGATCCCTTAGTTGGAAACAGTTCTTCAGTTTTTCCTTGACTTTTTCGATTTTGACACTTGGGAAGGATACAGGCCAATTGTTTTGTAGATGTGTTCTTTCTGTGTCAATTTGTCTGATGTTTCCTCATGATTAGATTTAGGTTATGCATTTGAGAAGAATCTAACAGAACTGACCCTATGTTTTATCCCTTGCAGGCCCCAAATTTTGATTTGTGTCATTGTTGGTATTTTTAACTTAGACTGATTCATTATAGAGATGTCTGAGAGGCTTTTCTACTACAATGTTACATTTTTCCTTTTGTAATTAATAAGTGCTTTACGGGAAGTACTTTGAGACTCTGTGAACGTATTAGCTTCCTCATCAAACTTTCAATTTATTTATATTATTATGGATTCATGGATTCCTAATTTATTCAATGGGTTAAAATCCATTACTACCATTTATTTAGATGTTTAAATAGTTCTGTATTTGACCAATGAGAATTCTTTCAAGCTGGCTTTTGTGTCCTTTTGACAATTCCATTATTCTTTGGGTGTCCTTGTTTTAGTGCACAATAAGATGTTCCAGGCTCATCCAGGACTTTTCCTGGCTCAGCCATTATGCTAGCTATTTCTCTAAGAAGCCTTGGTTCTTTTGAAGAATGGTTATTTACACAGCAAGACCTAGGTGCTAGGCATGCATCATAGCATGGGGTTGCTGTTGCTTCCAGGCCTTCTCAGTGGACACAGATAGAGAATATATGTATGTATATATACACACATACTCACACATATGCACTTCCACATTTACATATGTATAAAACTGGAGTTTACACCAGTATTTTGAATTGCAATGTAATATCACAGGTATTGGATTTATTGTACTACAGATTTATTGTACTTTCTATACATGTAGCTCTTCTCTCTGACAATAAGAAAATTGATTCCCCTTATCACTGAATGAGTATGTATATGTAACCAATCTTCCATTGCTGATGCTCCTCACCTCCCCTGTGCTATTTCCCCCCTCTTCGCACTTGGGTTCCCACACCTTATACTGCACTGCTCACCTGAGCAGATGCTCTGCTTACTCCATTCAGGTTCCACCCTATTCCAGGCTGTTTTCTGACAAGGATGTACATCCATTCTCAAAGGGTTCCAATACGGAGTGACTCACTCTCTCCCCCTTATATGAATACTCTCCTCACACTGTTTGAGCTCAGACAGTGCTCCAGCCCCTTCTCATGGCTCTGGTCTTAATTATTGAAGATGGGGAAGGGCATGATTATTTTTTAATAATTGTTTTAGCTAAATTTTGAAGCATATGTTAGAAGAGAGCAACGGAAGATAGAGCAAAACTGGCTAGGTTACTACTGAAATAGCCCAGGTGAGAGATAAGGATGGCTTGAACTAGGGTAGAGTTAGCATAGATGTGGAGAAATAAACAGATAGAAGAAAAAAGTGGAGCCCATGTTTACTGCAGCAATATTCATGTTATCCAAGATATGAAGACAACTTAAATATTCATTGATAGATAAATAAAGAAGATGTGATATATATACCATGGAATATTATTCAGCCATAAAAAGAAGGAAATCCTGCTATTTGTAACAACATAGATAAACGTGAAAAACATTACCTATACTAACTAAATAATACAAAGACAGAAAGGCAGATAGTGTATAATCATACTTATCTGTTGACTCTAAAAAAGCAAAACTCATAGAAGCAGAGAATAAAACAGTGGTTGCCAGGGGATGGGGTGGAGGGGGAAATGGAGAGATGATGGTCAAAAAGAACAAACTTTAAGTTGTAAGATAAATATGTTCTGGGAATCTAATGTACAGCATAGTGACTATAGTTAATAATATATTGTCTCCTTTC